TGGCTCATGCCTGTAATCCCAGCACATTGGGAGCCTGAGGTGGAAGGACTGCTTGAGGCCACGAGTTTGAGACCAGCCTGGACAACATAGTGAGACTCCATCACTACAAGAAAAAAAAAAGAGTGTTGGCTAATTCTGATCATCTCCTCACTTCACAGTTAGGTGAGGGGACAACTCACAAGCAGACACTTGTTTCTAAAAGGATGTACTAACTATGTGAGACATTCTATGCCCTTAAAACTACCATCACCTCATTGGAAAAACTGAAAGACAGACTTCTACAAAAATAATTTGCCAAGTTTGTTTAAACAGACATGCTGGGTTTCTTCTCTCTCATAAGACTGAGATGTAGAAATATTTAAAGGGTTCCAAATCATACCATTAATATGAGCACGTATTATGGCTGAGTGTTTGTGGAAATATTGCATATCCGCCCAGTTCATCACCTGTGAAGTCACATCTTTGTTTAATTTTCAAAGATGAAATGATTCATAGTCATTTCATTCATGGGAATTGGTGCCAGTTTATTTCTGGGAGTTCAATTGCCAGCTTCTGGAATTGAGACACAAATATCTTAATATAAACAGGCTATATGCAGGAGCTTTCAATCTTGTTTCCCTTTGGAAAAGTACCAGTAATTTCATATTTGGTTTAATAAATCTGTTTCCGGAAGAATGTTTGCTGACGTCATTTTTTATCCCTCATGGATTTGATATGGAAAAATAGCCTGGCCATGTTCAAAGCAATAGATTAGTACTGGTAGTGTCTTTCGGCCTGTGGGAGCCCTCATTCCTCTGCAGCCACGGTTTAGGAGTGGTTCTGTATCCTAGTACAAGAGAAATGCTTTTGTGAAAGGCAGATTTGGAGGTATGGTGGGCAGAGAAGCTGGAAACTGATCTCCTTGAAACATTGATTTCATCATGTCTGTGTTTAAGTTGTGGCTGCAGTTTGCTATTTTTGGAGACAAGGCCAATGTCAGCCTGTATTCAAAGCTCTCCATAGTAAAGCAAGTTACACTTACTAGGTGAACCACACTGCAAAGGCCCCTCTCCCTCGCATTTAGAATTTTATCTATGTGAATTTTGATCAAGATTAACATTAAAGGCAGCCTTGAAGGCAAAGAGAGGAGAAGATTCCACCAAAAAAAAAAAAAGCAACATGCAGCATAAACATACTTAAAAAGTAGAGAGGTTTTCTGTCTGGAGCCCACAGTGCTGTGATTATATGTTTAGGAGAACACAGTGATTTTCATTCATCCTGTAGCTGTTTTCCATGCTCCAATTCTAGTAACTCATAATGCACCTATTAAGCACCTACTATGTGCAAAGAATGGGGCTCAGTGGTATAAGAAAATCTGTTTTCAGCCTCATTGGTTTTTTGAAGCCATGCATTTTAAATGAATCTTTATTTAAAGCAGTTTCAAACACAGAAAGATTAAGAGACGAATACAGTGATCATCTGTATAGTCATCACCCAGCTTTAACAATTAGCAAGCATTTGCCATGTTTGCATCACTTATTCTTTTCTGTTGTAATTATTGTTGATAAATATTTTTAAGCAAATCCCAGATTTGATGACCTTTCCCAACACATTCGTACATGTCTGCAAAAAATATTAGCATTTTCTCCCGTAACTACAGTGCCATGATCACACCTCAATAAACTGAGAATATTTCCTTGGTATCCTCCAATAATCAGTCCATATGCAAATTTTCCTACTTATTAAGAAAAGATCTTTTTAAAAATTAGTTTGTTCGATTCAGGAACTAAACAAGGCCCAACATTACCTTACATTACCATAACCATTACTATAACCATAAACTTTACATTAATACAATCCAAACAAATTTTCAGTTATATACAATATACTTTTATATGAAAATATAAAGATATTTTTATTATATTTATAGAATAAACACACAAACACACATATATTTGACATGTTGAAGAAATTATGTCAGTTGTCCTGCATTCCCTACACTCCAAAATTCTAAATTTTTCTATTTACTTCTTTGTGGCATCATTTATAGACGGCGCTTCACTCTTTTAGCCCAGTCTGGAGTGCAATGGCGCTTTCTCGGCTCACTGCAACCTCTGCCTTCCAGGTTCAAGCAATTATCCTGCCTCAGCCTCCTGAGTAGCTGGGATAGCAGGCATGCACTACCACGTCCAGCTAACTTTCGTATTTTTAGTAGAGACAGGGTTTCACCATGTTGCCCAGGATGATCTCGATCTCTTGACCTTGTGATCTACCCACCTTGGCCTCCCAAAGTGCTGGGATTACAGCTGTGAGCCACTGCACCTGGCCTATTTTTTTTCCTTTTTGAGACAGATTTTTGCTTTGTTGCCCAGGCTGGCGTGCAATGGTGTGATCTCAGCTTACTGCAGCTCCACCTTTCCGGCTCAAGCAATTCTTATGTCTCAACCTCCAGAGTAGCTGGGATTACAGGCATGAGCCACCCATACCCGGCTAATTTTTGTATTTTTAGTAGAGATGGGGTTTTACCATGTTGGCTAGGCTGTTCTTGAACTCCTGGTCTCAAGTGATCTGCCTGCCTTGGCTTCCCAAAGTGCTAAGATTTTAGACATGAGTCACCATTCCCGTCCCCTCCATTTTCAATAAGCTTGAAAGTTTATGTTCAATTTTTCTTTTGGCAAGCATACAGTACTTCAAAAGTGGTGCTATGTGCTATACATTGTATCACATCAGAAGGCACACAATGTTGATCATTCCACTCTCTAAGCATCCTCCTTCTTCCCCTATGAAGTTAAAGAGAAGCTTGGGGAAATTATTTAACCTTACAGAGCATCAGTTTTCTCATAGAGACATTGGGGATAATAGTAGTATACCCTTGCAAAGCTTGGTGTAAAGATTACACTATGTAATTGTTGTAAAGACCATAACATGGTGCCTGGTACATTGAAAAATATGAGGTGTTAACTTATTATGAATATGGCATGCAAAGTACTTAGTACAGTACACTGATCTAGGAGACTCTTAATAATGTTAGTTATTATTACCTTTATAAATTATTTTGGCTGAACAGGCCAGGTAAATTTCATTGAGTAGACAGTATTTGAAGGATGAAATGAAAAGGCATAGACCCCAACACATTAAGGTTCAGAGAAACCTCTCTGATAAGTTTCTTTTTAGGACTAGATTATGAACTACAAGATGGCAGGAATTTATTAGTTCTTTATCCATAGTATGCAGTTCAGTGCATGGCCCTCAATAATAGATGAGTAAAAAGTCCTACACAAACTCAACTTTGGACTGGCTTGTCTCTTATTGTGAAGTCCCCTGCATTCACTCCTATGATATCCACATAACATCCCTTTATTCCCAGTTCTGTATACTTACCCCTGCAATCTCTGCTGCTTAGAAGACCTAGGCCTGGCCAGTTGCGGTGGCTCATGCCTGTAATCCCAGCACTTTGGGAGGCCGAGGCGGGTGGATCACCTGAGGTCAGGACTTTAATACTAGCCTGGCCAACATGTTGAAACCCACATCTACTAAAAATACAAAAATTAGCCAGGCGTGGTGGTGGGTGCCTGTAAGCCCAGCTACTTGGGAGGCCGAGGCAGGAGAATCTCTTGAACCTGGGAGGTGGAGGTTGCAGTGAGCAGAGATTGTGCCATTGCACTCCAGCCTGGGAAACAAGAGTGAAACTCTGTCTCAAAAAAAAAAAAAAAAAAAAAAAAAAAAAAACAATCTCAAAAAAAAAAAAAAAAAAAAAAAAAAAAAAAAAGACCTATAGCCTCTACTTCTACCAATGTAAGTTCTACAATATACATCCTTCCAATTTTTTTTCTCTTATCTGTATCCTTTGGGAGGACTTTTCCAAGGCTGTTCCACCCTATATCACATTTGTCCTTTTCTCAATACCCACATCATACTCTTTGTCCACAAAATTTGATGCTTATACTTTAAAGATTTGTAGGTTGTCTTGCTTTCTAATAATTCCCTGAACTTACATCTTATTTCCTCTAAGTAAATTGTAAACTCTTTAATGGCTGATATGTTAGTCGGTTTTTGCTTCGCTGCAAAGAAATATCTGAAGCTGTGTACTTTATAAAGGAAAGAAGTTTAATTGGCTCATGGTTCTGCAGGCTGTACATGAAGCACTGTGCTGGTTTCTGCTTCTCCCGAGGACTTCAGGAAGCTTACAGTCATGGTAGAGGGGAAGAGAAGCCAACATGTTATACACACATAGAGGGACTAAGAGGGAGAAGGGAGAGGTACCACACCCTTTTAAGTAACCAGATCTTGCGTAAACTAACAGAGCGAGAACTCACTCATCACCAAGGGGATGGCATTAAGCCATTCATGAGGGATCCACTCCCCTCATCCAATACTTTTCACTAGGCCCTACCTCAAACACTAGGGATTACATTTCAACATGAGATTTGGAGGTGACAAACAACCTAATCGTCTCAGCTGAGTTGGTGTTTTCTGCCTTTCTAACTTCTATTCTCCTCTTACCCAATACCCATTCCCAACCCAAACACCTGGCACAGGAGTAGACACAGTAGAACTTCAAATAAGTACTATTTGCTAACTTATCATCTCCTTATTACACCTTTTTCAATGTACTTGGGAACTCGAGGACATGGCCATCAACACACTGCCAAGATGAGAGTGGTGTATCCCTACTACAACTGCATTATGGTATGTCTGCTTACGTGCCTGTGTCCCTATCATACTGATAGAATCCTGGAAACAGAGATTATGGATTTTCACCTCTGAGCCCTAGGAACTAGTACAGGAGCTGGCACATAACAGATAATCAATGATGAATTTAGGAAATGGTGGGTCAACCAATTTGATGAAATCCAGTTTTGCCTAAAAAAATTTGACTATTTGGACTAGTTCAGTCAACAAATTAAGATGTTTGAACCATTTACACATATGGGCCAAGTCCTCATGAAAATATAAAACATGTTTTTAGGAGTCAGATAAAATTAGATCTAAAATTGAAATGGAAAGAAAAAATAAAGTCATTGACTACTAATGGCTTTATTGTTCGACTCAGGAGCATTACGGAGCTTTCAAGATTTTAAACCTAAAGAAAAACTCTTGACAGTACAATTTCAAGCAGGAAAGAGAGCTATTTTGAGGCCTCTTGGTACTGCTAAATTCACACTCAAGAGATAACTCTCTTCTGTCTTCTGGAAGCTATACTATAGTTCCTCCTTCCCCACCCAGCAACCAAAAAAACAAAGCAGCTTCAAGTCCTAGAAAGTACAGAAGAAAAATCTTCTCTGCTTATGTTGTAGGTGTGTTTCTTCCACTCTTTGGGGTGGAATTTGTCAGCAGGTTGGGGCATGTTCAGGCTGTGTTTCACACATCTTTTGAATCCTCAGTCCAGGCAGAAATCAGTCACCTACATGTTGGCCTTTAAGAAAAGAGCTGGCATTTTAGTGTTTTAAACACTGGCATCTTCTGGTTCAGTGCCCCAGCCAGAAGTAAGGAAAGTGTGTTACCCAATTTTTTTTTTATTCTTTGAACCAAAAAGACGCTCTTCCCTATGTTTTACTCCACCTGACCATTGCCTGGCTTGAAGGAAAAAAGAGGACACTTTCAAGAGCTGAGAAAATTGGCATTGATGATTTAACATAATTTAGTTAAAAGTTAATTCTCCCTTCCCATGAGCCACAGCTGATTATTTAGAGAAGGATTACCATTCATTGTTCATCGAGTTTTATCTTTCTAAATTTTCACTGATTAGCATGATGTGTTACTAGGAAAAATATTATGATTTTAATTGCATTTTGGCATCTTAAAAGACTGTTTCACACTGCTTAACATCTGCAGTCAACAGATGTTTAAACACAACTCCCTCAATGACTAAAATTTGGCAAAACGTCTAGTAGTTGGAACAGCTTAAAATTCTAAATATACTTCTAGGAACATGATACAGGCAGATGAAGTACTAATTGTGTGTGTTTTATATTAAATATTAAAATATTATATATACCATCCCTCTCAGAGATGACAGGTGTCAGGGAAAAAACAACAACAGCCAAGAGATATTTCAATCCTACCGTTCCAGAGATATTCTATCTATGAGCAGGACTGTGTCTTGTGGTCACTGTCAACTGCAGTGGGGACCCTTTTTTAAGTGCTATTTATTGTGGTTAACTCTAGAGGCTGGTAGAGGCAAAGCTGTGAGACTGACACGTTTGTCCCGTTTGCTTCCTCTTTTGGTATCCTTCTTTTCTCTGACTCAGATCCTTAGGAACTTCCATGCAGGTAGATTCTAAGATTAATACCTTGGACTGGAGTTTAAGTTAATTGGTCAGCCTTCAGTTAATTGTGGCAGAGATTCATTCATATCAGAGTGTGTGTGTGGTGTCTGTCTGCTGTCTGTTTCTCAAGGCAGGGGTGCAGAGAGAGAGGATGATCCAATTAGCATTTAGTCAACTATTTGACAAATCATTGGTCAAATTAGCATTGGACCAACCATTTAAGCCATTATGTTTAGCATGGCTTAAATAATCCAGAGAAGATCATGAATTTCATTTCAGTCACAACTTGTAATAATCAACACCTACGGGCACTTTAGGACAGTTGATAACTCAGGGCTTAGAGGGCTGCTTCCTGTCCGCTTGTTGAACTCACCCTCAGTAAAAATGCCATTTCTACTCAAGCATCCTAGAGGCTGTAGTAGAAAGAATGAGAAATCCACATTTTCTATCCCTGGATGGGTTAGGTTCGCAGTCACAGGAACTGTGCAGTATATAAAGACTTTCAATTGATACATCTCTGCCTGAGCTCATCACGTCATTCTTTTCTTTGTTACTGATTTAAGTAAGTAAATTTTGAGTATAGCCGATTACTTTATCTATTATGGGCGGGCCTAGTCCAATCAATTGAAGGCCTTTGGAGCAAAGACTAAGGATTCCTGAAGAAAAAAAGAAATTGGCCTCAAAACTGCAGCGTAGAAACCCTATGGAATTTCCAGCTTGGCCTGACCTGCAGATTGTGGACTCAACGCTGGATGGAACATCAACTCATCTGAACTTTCAGACCACCAGCTTGCCCTACAGATTTTGGACAGGCTGGTCCCCACAATTGAATAAGCCAATTCCCTAAAATCTCTCTCTCTCCTCTCTTGTTCTCTCTCTCTCTCCTCTCCTTCTTGACTACACATGTGTATATATAACATCTGGATTCAGAGAAGGTGACTATCGCCAGGAGGAAGTAGAATCATGGAGAGATAGATAGGACTAGGCTATGAGGAGCGCAATGCAGGTGGTCCATCAGGAAGAGGAAGCAGCTTCTACAAAGACCAGGAGACGGGACCTGTGCCTTTGACAGGGGCAATGGACAGAGACAGCCTGAGAGTCAGGAGGCTGTGTGTTAGAGAGCAGTGGGTACTAAGACTGGATGAACTGGTAGGACCCAAGAACTGATGTGTAGAAAAGAGCCTCTTCTTCTTTTTATTTTTTCCATGCAGGGGGCTTAGAATTATTGCATTTTTTAAACACTGAGTCATCTTTTCTGTAGTACTCTACAGCAGAGACCACTTCAGACTGTGCAGCTGTCCCCAGCTATCACCATATCCTCTATCTTTTGTATTCATCCCAAAAGGGATTTGCTCTTCCTAAAAGGGATGCCCTCCAAAGAAATTTTAAAAGAATCTCATCAAGGAGCCCTGGAGAATAAAGGGATGTGAGGGTCAAGTCACAACTTTGAGGGGAAATAGAAAGAGGGCTCCTTTTTGAGAAAGGAGAATTTCAAAAGACTCTCAGAGAACCAGAAATTCAGGACCCAGAAGGGTAAGCATTTCTGTTTATGCAAGCATCACAGACCGTTTAAGTGAGTGGATTTTTTCAGAAGTATATAAATGAATAAACAATATCCATGTCTCAGGGTCAGACATGGTACTTTTGCAGCTGATTCTGTCCCTCTTGAGAGGCTGTCACCAAACTGAGAGGGTGGGATGTCTTAATGAACATTACAAACAATGTGATTAGGCTGGACATGGTGGCACATGCCTGTAACTCTAGCACTTTGGGAGACTGAGGTGGGTAGGTCCAGGAGTTCGAGACCAGTCTGGGTATGGCAACACCCTGCCTCTAATTAAAATACAAAATTTTAGCCAGGCATGGTGGCACATGCCTGGAGTTCCAGCTACTTGGGAGGCTGAGGTGGGAAGATCACCTGAGCTCAGGAAGCCGAGGCTACAGTGAGCCGAGATTGCATTACTGTACTCTACCCTCCTTGGACAGGAGTGAGACCCTGTTTGAAACACAAAAAATGATCAAACAAAACGCCACATGTTATTTTAAAAAATACTGAGGGGAGAAGATGTGGGAAAAAACAGAAAACCTGAAACTATGCATAATCCTACCATCAGAAAATTATATTCATGTGTTAAGTGACATTCTCCCCTCTGAATCCCAATTCCATTAACTTGTAGTAAATTTAAGTCTTATTCCATGAACTCAGATGTGCAAAAAAATAGCACTTTTTACATAAAATTAATTCTGAGCCTATAGCAACTCTCTTTATCATATTAAGTAATTAGGAATTCAGTCTCAGGTATCATTGTCACCCTCACGGATAGGCAAAGGTCTCAGGGTTTTACGTAGCACCAAACTCTAATGAGATCTCTTCAGCCACTGAGCTTAGTCTACAATGTTAACTGCTGAGGTGTCTGTGGCCTCAGACTACATGGTCTTTTCTGGTTCTGGCTCCTCTGCTGCCACTTTTAAAATTAGGAGAATCTTTGGTGAGGCTTTGGAATTCCCATCTCCCTAGCCCAGCCTCCCTACCATCTTCCTCCTCTTCAGAGTGCTCCAGAACTAAGACTAGGATTCCATGTACATTCCAAATACTTTCTCTTCTCTCTCCAGTTCCTCCAGGACACCAAGAATACTCTCCTCAATGGGTTTAGATTTTATAAAATTCAAGACCAGAATCTGAAGTGTCTTGCAGACAACTTTGGCTTCTGGCCCTATGACAAACATCTCCCCTGTGGCAAGAGGCCACAAAAAGGCCTGACCATCTGCTTACAGGGGAGGAGGGGAAGAAACACTGGGAGGACAAACACAAGTTAATATTCCAAAAATTATACCACAAATTGTTGACAGTTTGGTGAGTCTCTTTCCATAATGTTCTCATGCTTATAAAGCAAAAATCTCTCTACGCATAAGCTTTCTTTTCCTTTTTTAAAATATATATATTTTATTACACTTTAGGTTCTGGGGTACATGTGCAGAACATGCAAGATTGTTGCATACATATGCTGAGATCTCATACATACATAGCAATGTGATTTGCTGCCTCTACCCCGCAAGCTTTTCTTTTTTAAGCAAAAAGGGATTGTACTATATATACATTCAGTTACAGCTTGCTTTTTTTTTTTTTTTTTCCACATAGGTTAGTGTGGGTACCTTCCTAGGAAGTTTCTTATTTTATTTGTGACATTGGGTACTGCACCACGGATCGGTACTAAGGTGGTTTCTATTGTTTTACTTTTTTACACAATGTTGTATTGTGCACATACATGTATATCTCTGTGTTATTTTTCTATCATCACTTTCTAGAAGTGAACTGACTAGGTTGACCAAGTGGCTAGTGAATCAATACTCAGGTTTATTTGCAAACCATAGCATAGTTCTCTGTTTCTCTGCACTGTAGGCCCCGGCCAACTCTGGTGGGTTGGTTAGCACATGCTGGCTTTAGGGAAAGAGCCTGAAAATGCCTTTCTCAACATCTTAGTCTTCGTCAGTTTGATAAAGTTGGTGGAGTTGGTGCAAAGATTATTCTAAACATCTCTCTAGTTTGCCTCAGTGAATAGGAATCTCACTATTAGTGGATAGGGAACCACTAATCTGGGCTTTACAACTAACCAGTTAAGAGACCCTGGACACATCATGTCCCACTCGAGGTCTCAGGTAGATCATTTGTAAAGTGGAGATGGGACAGACAGATGATCTGCTAAAGACTTCCTGAAGTGATATCATACATGTGTCATATGTCCTCTGTGTTCATAAACATACACTGTCCTGGACAGGTAACGAGTGTCTGTGGATTGATGGCAGACTTTGGGCTTTACTGACTTTGCTATGCCTCTTCAGTTTCCTACTTTATATTTTAGCAATAGTACAGTACATTTGTATTAGCCTGTGTTCCTCCAAAAGCTGACACAGTGACAAGGGTTCAAGTTTAAGATGTTTATATTTGGGAAGTACAGGAAAGACCAGTAAGGGAGGTGGCTTATGTAAGGTATGTTATCAAGCCAGCTGTCAACGGGCTTAATCTCGAAGGGCAATGTTGAGAAACAGTGTAAAACCCATGCTTTGGAATTATCTGCCTTTACAGCAGGGGAGCTGGGGTGTTTATATATCAAATCCCATCAGCACACCCTAACGTGCTAATGTGCTAATTACCAGCATATCTAGCCTGCCATGCAAAGGCTGAGCAGCCTGCCTTAGTTTAGAGAAAAGCCTTCAGGTCAAGAGTGCAAGAAGAATTTTCTGGAACCAGCTAAGGGATGTGGGCATGGCCATAGTGTCTACTGTGTAACTCTCACAGTTTCACTCACATCAGTGTTGCTTTACTCTTCTGTGTCTTTGCTCATGTTGTCTTTACCCCTTTCCCTTTCTGATTAATTTCAAATCCTCAGACTTCCTAAGTTTGTGTCCTGCCTCTGCTACTTCCTAGCTGGGTGACTTTGGGCATGCTACTTAAGCTTTCTGTGCCTCAGTTTCCTCATCTGGAAATAGGCATAGTGATCATTCTCATCTCATTAAACTGTTGTTAGGATCAAATGGTAATGGTGGAAAGCACTTATGGCAGTACCTACCACTTAATAAGTCTTCGGTAAATGTCGTCATATTTGTCATCCTTCAATAGCTACTTCAAGTGGTAGTGCCTTGAAGAAAGCATCCCTGAGACTCCAGGCTGGGTTAAGGGCTCAGGCCCCTTCTTAACACATTATGGTGATATTTTCCATATGCAAGTTTATCTTCTACTATGGACAGTGAGCTCTCCAGGAAGCCATCTCTGTGGCTTACTCAGGTCTGTGTCCTCTGCAATTCTTGCAGGACCTAACCTGCCATTCTGTTAATGAATGATAACAGAGACTTTGCTTTCATTCACTCAGAAATAAACCCTTTCCTTTAAGATTCCCTCTGAGTAAAATGTAAACTTCATCAAACTGTAGTAATAATACACTTTCTTTATCCTAACACATACATTGCCAACACTGCTCCTTTAACACACACACAAACACACACACACACACACACACAGAAAGAGAGAGAGAGAGAGAGAGAGAGAGGGAGAGGGAGAGGGAGAAAGAGAAAACCACTTCTTAATATTTCTGAAACGAGGTTGTCTGTCTTAATACTGAGATTTTTTTTCACTTTATCTTCCTTTCTTTCACAAAGTAAGCTATTATTAATTAAAAGCTAGAATCTAGTATTAAAATTGACAAACATATGGTTTAGACCTCAAAATGAAGGATAATTTGGAAATAGTTTTCAGTTGTTCTTCAAGAAGAAAGCAGGTTCCTGGGGTGCCCTGCCATGTGGTGGATCTCATACTCCTGTCATTCTGCTAACACAATTCCAGGAGCTGATTCTGCTGCATTTCACAGGGTATCAGTCTCATCCTGATCAAGAATGAGCAGATCAAACTGGTGGGTCCTAGGAGTAGGAAATAAAAGAAGAAATAGTTTCATGCCATGTTGGAAGTTCAAGACAGAGACACTAAATCAGAAGCCAGGATGGTGGAGCCAACAAAATGGGCAATACATGACACAGTTGAGGAATGGAGTAGCCATAGAGTGGGAAGTGGGAACCCAGCACAGGGATGCAAACCCGGCCGAGAAGTTATCTTGCATTAGATGACAGTGAACTGGCCTAGAATAGACACCCCAAAGCCAAGATCCATGGCAGAAAGGACACTGGTGGTGCAGGGTCTGGCCCTGGGCATCAGCTGGGTGAAGCTGTTAGGGATGGTGGAGAAGAAGGCATTGACAATGAACTACAAGGCTTGGGAGGGTTTAGACAAGTATTAAACATTGCCTCATTTAATTTTGCTTGAAAAGAAAAATAACTCTGGTTAGAATATTTTAGAACACAGACTTGCTAGTATCACTAAACTAGAAAAAAAATTGTCAAAAATTAAAACAAAAAACAAAGAGCAAATCCAGATTTGAATCTAGGCTCCTTGAGTTAATAGCTAGAAGAATTTGGGCCAGCAATTTGGACAAGTAAGTTCTCTGAATTTAACTTTTCATCATGAAATACACGTAATACCCCTGGGTTGTTGTGAGGAATTATTGGGTAAGAAGATAATGAATACTGAATACTTAATATTTGCAGGCATGGTACCAAGGGTTTTCCCATACTTGGTCTTATTTTCTAAAATTAGTCTACAAGGTAAGTACTAAGGTTCTTATTTTTACAGATGCAAATTGAGCTTCAGTGTGATTAAGTAACTTGTGCCATGTCTCATAGCTAAAGAATATATATAAATCATCACACATGGAATACAGTAGGTGTTTAACACATGTGAGTTTTCTCCTTTCACTTTGCTTGCAATGCTAGCCGTAGAAGATTTTAAAACTGTCTGATTTTTGAAGAAGAAATCCTTGGAAGAGCACTCCCTCTCTGCTGGACTAGAGTTTAACTATCATCATGTTCTTTGGGAATTTGATAGCCTTTTAATCCGTCGAGGCCATGACCTTCTTGTAATGTGTTGACTTCCTCTGCCGCCACTGTTTCTCTCGAGGGACCTCCATCTGCATTTGTTTGTGGCTGTCTTTCCCAGTGACATTTCCTTTTTTACCTGATTCTCAAGATAATTTGTTTCTCATATGAGCTTCAGCAGCCTGAGAGATGATATCAAAATCAATCAGTCCTCCAACAAGCTTTGTAAATACAATCCCTTGGCTTTGCATAAAGGGTGTAAAAGGTATCTCTATTGCCCAATTCTTCCTGGAGCAGTGGGGCCACTCAAAGGAGAATCAGGAGGTTAGAACACATCCTAGAACATGAAATCTCATGTATGAGGGGATGTCAGCCTCATAGCACCTGAGCCCTAGTGTGGAAAGATGAGAGCTAGGGAGGTGTTATCCCCTGGGACTTCTGAGACCTGCAGATGGGACATGGTAGCCCTTGATCCAATGTGGATAATGAGGAGCCCCCTTAGCCACAGAAACCATCCCTGAGTCATGTCTTCCCTTCTCCTTCAGTATGACCTTCTCTGTTTGGGGGAGGCAGCAATACCTTGGAAAGTTTGAGCTGGTTTGTGAGGAGAGGTTGAGGCTAGAATCTCATGGTTATCTCCTTCCTCAAAACAGAGCCATAAGATGCAAGCCAGCTGCCATGGCCTGACTGAAGCCTGTTATGGATTTGCCTTTTAATGTATTTGTTAAAAATTTGAATCAGATGCAACATTTAAAATAAGACTTCACATGAAACTCCAGATTTCTGGCCTCCCTTGAAAAATCACACCTGATAATCCTGGGCTAGCATTTCTATGGGCAAGAGTAGGCCGGATCTAAGTACACCTCTTCAGGTAGGGCAGGTGTGGTCCTGTGTGCCCCAGTCCCCACCTGGCCCCACGTTTCCTTAGGTTTCCTGTCTTGTTCCCTGGGCATTTGAATTTTGAAAGAAGGAACGGGAAGGAAAGTAATGATAGAGTTAAAAGACTTACAACCTAACCCAGTTAATAACGGGAAAAGTAAAAGTTGCTTCAGGTAACTATTTCCCTTACATATCATCCAGTTTTGCAGAAAGGGTAATTGGAGATCAGAGAAGTGAATTAAGCCGCTCAAAGTCACGTGGCGTTGGTAAATGGTACAACCAAAATTTGAGGTTTGGTCTCTTTGATTCCAAGTCATGTGACCACAAAATCCCACTTTGCCACAGTGGCCTCGTGGAGAATCTGCTTCCCTTTTATGAAAAGGATACCCTCACACTTCTGCATACCTGGGGTACCTGATGCCCTGTCAGATATCAAAGAGTTAATGCTATACTGGTCACCATTCTTGATATCAAGAAAATTCAAGAGGAGTCTTGTTTTTCTCTGATGCTGGCTGGCATCCTCTCTGCTCCCCAAGTCACTAATGACTGTACACTGTACACTAATATGTACAGTGATATTCAAATAGGATAGGAGAAACTTCTCGTATCATTGAGGTTACCATTTGCATTAAGGGAAAAGAGGTTCGATGACTCTCAGTTCGGCAATTCAGCAGCCATCTGTACTTCACATCATTGGCCTGAGTTTTCAGCCTCATTAAATTCTTTCAGGTCATCTGGTCTCAATCTTTGTGGTTGCCCAAGTGCACATTTATGTCCCATGAGCTATTGCCATTTCTAACCTGTGCTTAACTGCTCCCACCTCCCACCACCCTTAATTGATCTTGCAGTACTTCCGGTATTATTTTTAAAGTCTTCCATTTCCCAATTATTTCCAAGAGCCCACAGAGGTTACTGCCTGTGTAACAGACACTGTGTCCTCTGGGTTTCTACATGGCTTTTACCTTGTTCTGTCAAAGCTCCCTGGTGAGCTATTTTTGGTGGGTACTGCAGTCTCCTGCTAGACACCACTGCCAAGAGGTGTTAAGGTCATATGGTGTGCATGCAGTGGTGGGTAGAATGAATGTTTCTTTCTCATGATCTATGTTTCACATGGCTACCAAACTGCTGGTATTGCCATGTCTTAGAGAGTCTTAGCTTGATTGGTTTTTGTCACAACATCCCTCTGCCTCCATACATACCTTTGTATTGCTCCACAGGATTCAGAGGAGATGCTATGGGGAACTGGGCTGGGAGATACAATACTGAGCTAGGGTTTTCTCCTTCCATTTGATGACTAAGGCTTTATTTTTGCACCAAGACTATAACACCCTCTTTCCTTAGGCTGAGTTTTCTCCCAGGTGGTTCTTTACTCCCCTGTGCAACCCTTGCTATCTTGCCTGTGTTGGGCATGACTGGCTCTAAGTGATGGATATGGCTCAGTGGCTTGGAGTCAAATTGGAATCCCTGAAATCTGTTGTTTTGTTTTTGTTTCTTTGTTTGTTTCTTTTTTTAAAAAAAGACAAGGTCTCACTATCTCATCCATGTGAGAGTAAAGTGGCACACTCTTGGCTCACTGCAGCCTCAATCTCCTGGGATTAAGTAATCTTCCCACCTCAGCTTCACGAGTATCTGGGACTACAGTCACATGCCACCATGTGCGGCTCATTTTTTTGTATATTTTGTAGAGGCAGGGTTTCGCCATGTTGCCTAGGCTGGTCTTGAACTCCTGGGCTCAAGCTATCTTCCTGCCTTGGCTTCCCAATGTCCTGAGGTTACAGACAGGAGCCACTATGCCTGGCTGGAACCCTTGAAATCTTAGGTGGCAGTATTTTATATAATTTTATCTCCTTAAAGCCCAAATCGTCTGAAATAGGTTTATCATACAGCCTCAATCCAGTCACAGGTTGGCTTAAGTGTTCCTCTGGGTGCTTGGGTATGCAGTTTCATTGTCTTCTTTCCTGAACAAGCAAGCCTGTGACTCAAAGAGATTTTGAAATTTGGACTCTTGCATGAGAGCTGAGTAACAAGGTTATAGGGCCACAGACACCACTGCAATAGGTGGCACTCCCGGAGCCAGCTGAAGCATCAAGCAGGAAATGGAAGTGAAACCCAAGGAAAGGATTATGGCTAGGTCTTGGGAAGAAGGGATTAAGGCAGTGAACTTTCTCTTGTTCCTGCCTTCCTCTGTCGACTGGTTTCCTCCTCTCTCTCTCTCTATGCAGACTGTCTACCTTTGCCTCCCAGTTCACAAGGTGGCATATGACCATCCCATTGTTTTCAGGTTTACATATAATAGTTCCAGAAATATGCAAGACTTTTTTAGTCCCAACTTTAAATTCTCAAGAGGAAGAGCCTGATTGTTTCTGTTTAGATCACTGTTCACCTCTGATTCAATCAACTGTGTTCCAACCACCAAGTCTGTGTCCAAGGATCAAAGATAGACCAGAGAGGTTAGAGTGAGCTGGACAGTCACATACACATTCATTCTACCCGAACATTTTTTACCCCCCCATCTTCTCACAAATTACTTGTCGTTTCTGGAAAGCCATTGAGGAGTAGAGGAGCAATACTCAAGAGAAGCAGTGCAGTCTAACAATAATGTTTTCTTTTTCTTTTTTTTTTTTTGAGACAGGGTCTCACTCTGTCATCCAGGCTGGAGTGCAGTGGTGTGAGCTCAACTCACTGCAACCTCCGCCTCCTGGGTTCAAGCGATTCTTGTGCCTCAACCTCCATATTATCTGGGATTACAGGTGCACACAACAACTCCAAGTAATTTTTGTATTTTTAGTACAGACAGGGTTTCTCCATGTTGGCCAGGCTGGTCTCAAAGTCTTGGCCTCAAGTGATCTCCCCTCATCAGCCTCCCAAAGTGCTAGGATTATGGATGTGAGCCACTGCACCCAAACCTAACAAATAATCTTAGTAACTAATATTTACTAAGAATTTCCTGTGTAACGGATACCGTATTGAGTACATCACAGGAATTATCTTACCTATTACATACAAGAAGATCTTACCATTGGTTATTATTATTAGTGTCATTTCACATGAAGACACCAGGGTTAGGGGGCTGGCTGGACCAAGATCTATGTGGAGAGCAGAGCTCACAGCAA